GATGGTGTGTGGTGATGGTGTGTGGTGATGGTGTGTGGTGATGGTGTGTGTGTTTGCCGGCGCTACCACGCAGCAGCATAACGCACGTACCTTTTAGTATACAGGCCTATAGGTATACAGGTATACCTATAGGTATACAGGTTTTAGTAGGCCTATATATGTATACAGTTAAATCTCATCCATCCGACATAAACCGGCCCGGACATATCAATCAATAGTCTATCAATAGACCCCTGATATAATATTAAGATAATAATCCTCCTATTGATAGACTCCTGATATAATCCCGGCCGGTTATTTATTGTTTATTGGTAGGTGTTCGCGTCGTGTTGCATTCTGCTCGGGTATTCGTCGCTGAAGCTCTATCCGCAAACAGCGCGGATTCTCGGAATTCTCGTCATTTGCGGTGCTGGTCTCGTCATTGCTGCGGCCGTCTTCGGCTTTATCGCAGCTGCCCAGCATAAACCGATTCAGCTTCTAGTGGTAAGTATATATAAGCAGTGATCTTGTAGCGTATCGCGATATCATGAAGCAAACGCGTCGCTGGTTTATATTACAGGAAGCGAAATAATAATCACTTTCCTTTTATTATGTCGCCATATGACAATTATATATCATTATATGCATAGTCATTTAATTATTATCATTGCGATTATATATATATATATATATATATATATATAATCATACGCAACTATTTGATAGGCAAGGCATGGGGTGGCAAAATTAAGCAATATGCCTAGTAGTCCTGCTAGTAGCAAGTCGCCTATATGCCGTTTTACGTATCATTTATGATATTTTATTCCAGTTCTTTTGCCTTTCACTGGGAAGTTTCATCTTGGTATTAGCGTTTACGATATACACAAAAACGTCAACTGCAAGCACATCAAGATTAGAAACGGTGTGTATTGATGTGTGTGATGATGTGTGTATTGACGTGTGTCATTATTCACCACTGATGCGATGTAGGAGTATGTATATAGGAGGATGTATGTAGGATTCCGTCTTTAATCTGTAGCAATCACAAGCAGAGGTAACTTCTATATATTTATAATTTCATGTTGTTTTATGTTATAGCTATAAGGCAAAAATATACACTCCATGTTCGGGGTTACTCGACCGACCCTGTGAGAAAGTAGGCCTACCAGTCCTAAACATTTTAATGCCAAACTTATTATTATATATATTATCAGGAGTCTATCAACTCCTATTGATAGACTCCTGATATTATCAAGAGCGCATTAACATTCTTAATACGCTATTGATATTATGTTATATTATTAACTAAAAAATTATTGAAAAAATGTAAAGGTATTGTGTAGCGTGGTGTAGCCACTACTACACAGGATGTAAGGGGAAAGGTATAGGAGAGTAGCCAAATGGACGAATAACGAAAAGGCGAAGAGTAAAAGTAGAGTATACGGCACGGCCTCATATTATAGACACTTCGAACGTGCACACACGGTGACAAGTGCTTGAGCTCCCCCCTGACGTGCGCGCGGAAGCCTTATGTATCCTTCCTTCATCCACCTCGATCCTTCGCGCGCGCACCGTTTTAATTCCTTTGTTTCACCAACTGTTGCGCGTACGACATTACGTGGGGTGTCATGCACCTAATGTCGTTAGGCACCTCGCGTCGTAACCGGCAGCGTGCGGCCGCTCATGAACAAGGAGCTCATGAACACCTTTCGCACCTGTGGCTGCGCGAGCGTGCGGCTCGCTACCGTTATCGCATCCATTATTAATGAGATATGTTTAGTAGTCATATAGTTATGCCCTTGCGTATAATATTGGTCGCTGCATAAATATTTGCCTACCTACCATACCCTACTTTTTCTTAGCTACGTTACCCCGAACGTGGCATTAATTTTATTTGGTATAATACACACGTCTTTAATCGATAGATGGCGCAGGATGTTCAAAAGGATACAGATAATCTGTTTGCTTCTTCCGTTCATGGTCAAGATCACCGCGAGGTTTTCGACAATATCGAAGCTAATGTGAGTGGTCTCGATCATGCTATGTCCAATTACAACGCTGTTGAAAAATACTGCCGATTGTGTACGCGCGTGTGTGAGAGTATATGTATGCGTACGCGTGCGCGTGTTCGTGTGCCTATGCGTGTGTGCCATGTGTGCGTGAGTGCGCGCATGTGTGTGAGTGGGTGTGCGTGTGTAGATATTAAAACGTGGAAGGCAAGATGACGAAGAGATATAATAAATAACGAATAATAAACAATGGATAACTAGTGTAGAGTGAGAATACTAAGTATATAATATCACGCGGGCTGTATTTCAGTTAGGCTGCTGTGGTTCTAATGGTACCATCGATTACACGATATTCTTCTTCCCAATACCTGACTCCTGCCGCGACGGCGACGCCGATACATATTTCACACAGGTGAACACGCTATTTAGACAAATTCAACCGAGGTTTCAATGAGACTAGATGCCGCGGTTTTCTGTCTAATTAAGTCAAAGCGTTGCCATCGCCCACATATTAATTAAGTTTACAATGATTAGCGCTAATCATTGTAAACTTAATTAATATGTCGCGTTACATGTACGACGTTCAATTAATTTCTAATAGATTTATTATTGACCCATATTATGAGAGAAATTATTACGATATATTATTACTACGAACATAGAACTATTCGTTGTCTGTTTCAGGGATGCTTCCGTCCGATGTTTGAACTGTACATTCTCTACATGCATGTCTGGTTCAGCTTTGGGATTGTTATCTGCTCATGTCAGGTGCGCACGTATAGCGTCAGTATATATTGTAGTCCTCTACTGGAGGTCCATATCCTATCATAATACTGTTTAGTTTCCTCCCGTAACGATAGATAATAAATATACATATATAATATATTTATAATACATTTATAAATATATGTATATATACATATATATTTGCGTGTAAATCAGATTAACATCCACAGACTTCGTCTTCCTACGTTTGACCACCATATTTTTTCCTGCGTTCTGTTGTCAGTAAATGCAGAAATTCTAGCACGAATGAATGCGCCTCAATCACGTATAATAAATAATAATAATAATAATATTATGATCATGCAACGTGTTTGATAAGTATTTATAATAAAAGTCCGCATTGTTCAAGGTTGCACAGATGGCTCTAAGCTTGATCACGTACTGCCAGCTGAGGAGCGCATTGGGTAACTTCCACAACCACCTCGCCAGCTAATGAAGAAATACCTGATTGCTTATAATTACCATCCGTCTATATATATATATATATATATATATATATGTGTGTGTGTCGATTTAGCCGATTTAGCTGTTTTGAATGCCAAAAGGTGTCAATTTTGATTTACAGAATTTACTTCATATTAGGTAATGCCATCCATTACTTAGCAGACAAGCAGTGAGCTTTCAATAGTTATTCGATAAGTAGGTAGTTAGATAACTAGTACTAATATAATTTTAGTATATATTTTTATAATATCATTGTTCATATTCATATACTGTAACTCTGCCAGCTATTATCATGATAATTTTATATAAATATACACATAGTGAGTGCACTACAAAATATGTATTCATATAGATATTGCAATTCTTTATTGAATCTGTACAGTTTTTACAATCGTAGGATAACGTAGCAATCAGGTAAATCACGCATAGAACTTGTAATTGCCCCAATAATATATTAATATAATATATTAACAATATTATTATTACTATAGAATTATCCGTAGGTGAATTTTCAATCAGTTTGCCCATTTGAAGCGATTACATGACTTATAATACATTTATATTCTTAGCGTAATTATATACAAAATAATTTTACTTAAAAGCGACCATATACATATCGTATGTGTTTCAACTATAAATTTAATTATAACTACAATATAAAATTCGCCGAATAATAGATTAAAGTTTGATACGAAAACAAAAACATAGGCTTTAATCTTAACGCTAAATGTATGACACCTCTCTAAAATTGCTCGATTCAATCACCAATTGCCGTTAGTATAAGAACAAGAGACATTTGATCCAGCAAACCTCTCGGCTATTATTGCAGAAACATTGCAATCCATACCTAAAGCAAACCAATTTGCTTCTCCACAGTCTATTCACGGATTCTCGCTTTCCTTACACAGGGAGCACCAGTTATTCCGCGCAGAATAACAAACAAGAGCACGTGAAAGAAGCAAAGATAGCTCTAGCTCTGCAATAAAAGCTCCGCATACAAACAACTACTACCATGAACATGTAAGGAACGAACAAAAATCATTATAGATGCACGTTCATGCTACAACAACGCGTCTGCAGGAAATTCGGGTCATGCCCATGTAAACGTGGAGCGTTACAGACACAGGAGGGCGCTAGTCACAGGCATTCATCACAAATGAGTGCGTCTCCCAGCACTTCCCGTAGCAAACTATATCACAGCGAGGCGTGAAAGCCGACAAACATCACCCTTCCCTCGCGGCATCACGAGATTAGGAAGGTTAAGCGTGGGACGGGG